TGCAAGACAATGCTCGACCACACACTGCGAGAAGAGCGCTTGATTTCTTCGATGAAGTTGGCATAAATCGACTCGATTGGCCAGCAAATAGTCCAGATTTAAATCCAATCGAACACTTATGGGACAACCTCGGCAGGAAAGTACGAAATCACGTACCTGCTCCTCAGTCACTGCGAGAACTGTGAATAATTCTCGAAAACGAATGGAATACAATTACGCAGGATGAAATTAAAAGACTAATAAGGAGTATGCCTGATCGTATGAATGAGGTAATACGCGCACGAGGCAGTCATACCCACTATTAGTACACACACACCACACACACAGCAGAGAGGGTTTGGAGTCATTAATTACTGCAGAAGTGATGAACTGCGGGGTCCTTATCTCTGCTGTAACACCACGCGCACACACACACACACACACACACACATACACCACAAGGAGGGTGTGAAATCTTGAAATACTGTGGAGCTGACGAACCACGGGGTCCTTATCCTTGTGGTATACAAACACACACACACACACACACACACACACTACATACAATGGGACTTTTCCTACCAGTAAAACTCCATGCCGTTTATATTGGGAAGACTTACAACCATAATTTGAGCTAATGACAGCGGTATCTTAAAACGCAATTCATCTTTATTACATAATATCAATTACGCAAAATGAAGAACCTAAATTGAATTTTACATTCATTTCCCTGGCTTTCAAAATAATAAATGCAAATCATTGAATATATTGTGCTGGTTATGTAAATTATTATATAGAGAAACATGAACACAGCTATTGAAATTATGAAAGAGCCAAACGAACCGCAGAGCCTCTTAGTCCCTTAAGCCTCGCTGAATCGACATTTATTGCAAATTCGAAATTGAATATCTCGACACCTAAATATCCTAGCAGCAAATTTCAAAAACGGTTTGAAAGCTTTGAGACCGTACTTTTCGAAAGATCTATCGAAATTGTGCGCAACGATATTTTTTCAAAATGGCGGGTGATAAAAAGGAGAACATGAAAAGTTGCTAAAAAAAGGTTCGAGCGTGCGACGGCGCATGGAGCAAAGTAAGTGTCGCAGCTCAATGGGACGAAAAGTACCTAAAAGTATAGAATGTTTTCTTTAAAATACTTCGTTATAGAGCTTGATGCGATACTTATTCACTGAATTATGCAAATTTAACAAGAAAACCGCATTTTTAGCAAAATTTGGAACAACTCAGTGAAAAATGATCACATCGAGCTCGGTAAAGTAGCATTTTAAAGATAACACTATATACTTTCATGTGCATTTGGTCCCATTACGCCGCGATACCTGATGCACACCATGCACCATCGCAAACACGGACCTTTGATTATCAATTTTGCATCCTCTCACTTTATCATCCGCCATTTTGAAAAAAATGGCCGAGCATAATTGCCATTCAGATATTCTTAAAGAGGACGTTTCAAGCTTCATTTTGCATTTCTGCGCATATTTGTATCTTCATTATTTACCAAGTTATGATCATTTGAAATTTTGTAATTTTTTCCCAAATTTTTAGTGTACCGGGTTTTTTGCGTTTGAGTGTAATATGAAGAAATAATAAATTGGAAAGTTATTTCTATTAATACTTAGTATGATATATATATATATATATATCAGGTGTAGTAAAAAGAAATCCATTATTTTTCCAATAGATGGCTTTAGTTATCTGTATCTCGCGTTGTATAAGTTCGATCGGGTACCACTAGTTGGCGTTAGAAAGATAAGATTTCGTACTAAAAAAACTTTTCTGACAATTTTGTAATTAGTTGACTCAGTTTTGTTTGAGCGCGCGTCAAAGATGGACACTAGCAAAGAGAAAATACGCTATATTTTACAGTTTTTCTTCGATAAAGGCGAAAACGCAAGCCAGGCGGCTGAAAATGTGAATAGTGTTTATGGTCCTGATACTGTAACAGCCAATCACGCGCGATTTTGGTTTCATCGATTCCGTTCCGGTAATTTCGATGTCAAAGATGCACTACGCACTGGAGGGCCAATTGTCGAAAATATCGATAAAATCATGGACATTGTCGAGTCTGACCGTCATGTAAGCACTGTTTCGATTGCCCAAGAGCTAAAGATTGCACAAAAAACCGTTTGGAACCATTTGAATAAGGCTGGGTACAAAAAGAAGCTCGATGTATGGGTGCCACACGAGTTAACGCAAAAAAACCTCATGGACCGAATTTCCATCTGCGAATCGCTGCTGAATCGCAACAAAATCGACCCATTTCTGAAGCGGTTGGTCACTGGTGATGAAAAGTGGATCACTTACGACAACATTAAGCGAAAACGATCGTGGTCGAATCGCGGTGAGCCGGCGGAAACGGTGGCCAAGCCAGGATTGACGGCCAAGAAGGTTTTGCTGTGTGTTTGGTGGGATTGTCAGAGAATTATCTACTATGAGCTGCTTCCCTACGGCAAAACTCTTAACTCGGAACTGTACTGTCAACAATTGGACCGTTTGAAGGAAGCAATCGCCCAGAAGCGGCCAGCTTTGGCCAATAGGAGAGGAATTGTGTTCCATCAGAACAACGCCAGGCCACACACATCGATAGTGACTCGCCAGAAGCTCCGGGAGCTTGGTTGGGAGGTTCTTATGCATCCACCTTATAGTCCGGACCTGGCACCAAGTGATTACCATCTGTTCCTGTCCATGGCGAATAATTTTGCTGGTGAAAAATTCGCTTCAAGAGAGGTTTGTGAAAATCAACTGTCTCAATTTTTTGCCAATAGGGACGAGGGCTTCTATGAGAGAGGCATAATGAAATTACCTTCAAAATGGCTACAAGCTATCGAACAAAACGGCGCATATTTGACCTAAATCGGATCATTCTAACTATGGTAATTAAAGCCTTCAATTTCATGCAAAAATAATGGATTTCTTTTTACTACACCTGATATTATAATTGTTCTACAGTTATCTTATATGTTTGTAGTAGAAGTGATAATTGTCTGTTGAAAAATATTAATATTGTTTATTTATAATTGTTACCTAAATATATTATGCTGATAAAATACAAAGCTGGTAAAATACAAAGTGGATAAAAGTTCTACAAAAATATATTTTATTTTGTCTGTCACTGAATTGCCTGATCTTGCCATGGTACTCTTCCAATGTTATTAAAATATTCACATAAAGTTTCTCGCATTTCTATGGCAGCAGAAGCATGGCGATTGCCTCCTTGATGTTGTAATCTTAATAAACCTTGTCCTTGTTCATCTCGCCATTTTCCATATTGCAACTGACCTGTCATTTCATATTCCATATCAATATCCCACATAGCACCGCAATACTGCAGGAATATTACAAAAATGTTGCAGGAATATTACTAAAATATTGCATAAATATGACAACAATATTGCAGAAATATTTAATGTCCTAGGCATAAGTCTCGCAGAAATATTGCGGGAATATTATTATGATGTTGTAGGAATATTGTCACAATATCACAGGACTATTGCCACAATGTTGTTGAAATATCGCCACAATCTTGCAGGAATACCTATGAAATATAGCCACAATACTGTAGAAAAATTGCAAAATATTGCCGAAATATTACTGCATCGTGCAGGAATGTTGCTACAATATTTCTTAAATGTTGCTGCAATATTGCAGGAATATTACTGAAATATTGCATAAATATCACAGCAATATTGCAAAAATACTTAATGTCCTAGGCATAAATCTCGCAAAAATATCTCAAGCGTGGTCTACAATGGCAGTAAGCAGTAAAAAGTAAGCGTAAGCGGTAAGAAATAAACCAATCACAGTCGATTATGACAAAAATAATCAACTGTGGTTGGTCCATTTATTACTGTTCACGCTTTCTTCTTATTGCTTACGGCCATTGTAGACCACGCTTTAGAAACACTGCGTTAAATAAAAAAATGTTTCAGACAAAAGTTGTTTGACTTGAAGGGGGACATAAGACAGCGATAGCATTTTGTTAATAGATGGCGCCACTTTCAAGATATTCACTGACCATCAATTTTTATAAATGAAAATCCCAACTTTTTATTATATCTACTTTTTCTAACAATTAATTTGAACAACTTTTGTCTGAAACATTTTTTATTTGCTTAATATTTTTTGACATATTTAAGGAAAACTTGGTAACTTTTCCAACATTTATCTTACGATATCTCGCTAACTATTCGTCGACAAAAAAAATAGTATTAGACTTTTTTACTTTATTTAATATCAAGAATATATTAATAGTGCCCTAACTTTTGTTAATTTAATAATTTTGAAATTTCCAAAGGTCGATAAGTTAATAAAATGTCGATAAGTTAATAAAAGTTAGGGCACTATTATAATAATATATTCTTGATAGTAAGTAAAGTAAAAAAGTCTAATACTATTTTTTCTTTCGACGAATAGTTAGCGAGATATCGTAAGTTAAAAAAGTTGTTGAAAAAGTTACCAAGTTTTCCTTAAATATTTTAAAAAATATTAAGCAAATAAAAAAATGTTTCAGACAAAAATTGTTCAAATTAATTGATAGAAAAAGAAAGTATAATAAAAAATTCGGATTTCCATTTATGAAAATTGATTGTCAGTGAATATCTCAAAAGTGGCGCCATTTATAAACAAAATGCTATCGCTTTCTTGTCCTCCTTCAAGCCAAACAACTTTTGTCTGAAACATTTTTTTATTTAACGCAGTGTTTCTGAGATATTTGTGATGTGACATTAAAATGGGACACCCTGTATATAAATTGTTTCACACTGCAGTATTACGGCGATAATCAGAAATATTACGTGGCGACCTGTCATGCTGGAATATAGCGGCAATATTCCTGTGATATTGCAATGAGATTTATCATCTCGCAATATTGTTGTAATATTGTCATTATGTTGCTATACGATAGTCACATTGTAACATTGTAGTAATATTCCAGTGATATTGTAATCTGATATATCACTCTGTAATATTGTAATAATATTACTGGAATATTATATAATAATCTTCTGATTTTGTAATATTGCTACGATATTATAATATTGCTTCAATATTGTTGCAATATTGCAGTGCTGTGTGGGATATTCTGGTGGAGTATACATTATACAGCCTATACTGTGAGATCTCAACATGTTATGAAGACAACAAATCGCCAATACAATACAACGAGTATCATCTGGGTTGTATCTCATTGGAGATCTGAATATATTAAATCTGATCATGACTCCAAATGTATTTTCCGCACATCGTCTCGCTCTAGATAATCTGCAACAATAATTAAATGTGGAATATATAAATACTGATATATAAGAAAAAACACCTATTTCTCTTTTTTACTGATATATAAGAAAAAACACCTATTCCTTTTCTTCTACTTACCTGTAATTATAAATTCTTCTCTTTTTTTTCCTGTACATTGTTCCTTGGAATAAGATATGAGCACATTTGTTGATAAAGAAAAACCTTCATCTCCTATAATTACATAAGGAAAATCCTGCTCAGTACCTGGTAGGGGACTTGGTGGAGGAATATTAATGTCGTTTTTCTGCAAATGATGTTTTAGAGCACATTTATTCCATATTCCTCTGCCAGATATTCGTCCATTTGTGCCTACATCGACGAATATAAATCGAAGTTGAGCATCCACAACCCCCAAAAGCACGATACTGAACGTTTCCTTGTAATTGAAGTATGAGGAACCAGACTGAAGTGGAGGATCTATCCGAATATGTTTCCCATCCATGGCACCCAAGCAATTTGGAAAATTCCATCTTTCCATATAATCATGAACAATTACTTTCCAAGCCAATTCACTGTCAGGAAATTTCAGATGTGTTTCTTGCAAAAGAGAAATGAGAGCACGACAAGTATCCTTTATGATCCCAGATATAGTGCTTTGTCCAAGACGGAAAGTATAAGATAGTGATTCTTGACTTTCACCTACAACAGATAATATACAAAATTATTACATGATGAAAAATAAGTCACAAAAAAATATATAACTTGCTTAAAATAGATATGCTCAACAACCTGTTGCCAAATGACGTAATGTTACAGCAAGTCTTTCTGCAGGGGAGATACTTTGTCGGAGATGAGTATCCTGTCTTTTAATTAATGGCTCCAATTTCTTCACAAGATCCTCAAACAAATCTGAAGACATACGAAGACATCTGACAAAACAAATACATAATATTAATTACTGAAAGTGATTAGAATTAACAAACTATACTCAAATTACATTCTTACATTCTATTGATTATAACCTATACATAAAAAAATATATCTACCTACCTGCGATACTTATCTGGATCTTCTAGTTGTAATTCTAGAAAGAGGTTATGAAAACAACCTTGTTGTGCTCTTTTAGCTATCCAGGATCTAACTCACATTTTTTTTTTTAGGAAGAACCTTTTTCTCATACTGTGACTTTAACATCATTAACATCACAATGGCACATATTTTTTTCTTCTTTCTATGTTCCATTTTTCTTCACTTCTGTTGCAAAACCTATTACATTGAAACGACGAAATGCAAACGCTTGCTCCCAGCGGTCACTAGTGTGATTGACAAACATCAAATCGCAAGCGCAAACGCAAACGCAGTCGTCAATCGCTAGCGTGATACGGGCATGACGCATGTACTAAACATTCATAACCTCGAAACAGTCGCAATGTTGAAACCAAGTGCGGAGTATATCGAAGAGCCGCGATTATCGAAAATGTTCGTGCTGGGCGCTCAGCGACAGAAATCATTCGATTTTTCGGGTACCCAAGATCGACTGTGTATGATGTCGTCGCGAAGTATAACGAGTCGAAGAAGTCCAACGAAGGTTTTGCAACACCGGCAAGGAAAACTCACTATAAGGCGTTGTCAGGACGCCCGAAATCATTCAACGGGCTCAGGAGCTGATTTTTGAGGATTCAGGGCAGTCGATTCGAAAATTGTCGTCGGTTGTCGGTGTGAGTGAAAAAACTATGCGTCGAATCGTCGAGGAGGACCTCCGCTACAAGTCTTATACAATTAAAGTGAGATAGATGATTTCCGAAGCTGCCAGGACAAAGCGAGTTGAGCGCTATAACCTGCTTTTGTGTTCTTTACGAAACAATGCTGCCGGACGCCTCAGGTTTTTTCTGACGAAAAAATTTTTACTGTCGATGCGAAAATCAATCGAAGGAATAATCGCTGGCTTGCCCATGATTCTGAAGATGTCCCCATTGTTTCCAGAACGAAATTTCCGGCGAATATTCACGTACTAAGTGTTGTGTCCAGTGAAGGTGATGTCATGCCATCGCATTTCTTTAACAAAGAGGAAAATGTCACAAAAGAAGTTTATTTGCATGTTCTGATAAATGTGATGAAGCCGTGGATGGAAACTATATCGTCTGAAAAGCCATATGTTTTCTAACAGGACGGTGCGCCCGCGCACACAAGTCATTTGGTGTAAAATTGGTTATCGGACAACGTCGACATGTTTTGGTCCAAAGAATTTTGGCTCCCAACAGCCCAGATTTAAATCCTTTGGACTTCTATGTATGGAACGTGGTTGAAAGGGTCACTAACAAGTTCAGACATTCAAACGTCGCATCATTGAAAGCCACTATTGAAGCGGCATTCGCCGATATGGACCGTGACTCATTAAAACGGGCCTGCAAACGCTTCAGACCGAGAATGGAGGCGATCATTCAAGCAGAAAGGGGTTATGTTGAGTAAATGTGTTCTTTATGACCTAACAAACAATTTAGTAAAAAAAAATAATTATAAACTTCTCCATTTTTGCAATAAAAATTATGTTTCAAAAAATGTTTAATTTGTCTGGATTTTGACGCCGCACACTGTATATATCACGTCACTCAATAAGTTCGTAGGATGACATATAAATGGCGCTACTATTGACAAATCCATATGGTTTTTAGGAAGTACTAACCTTCAAATGATACGTGTCAAAATTTCATGACAATGGGACGTTTAGTTCACAAGTTACAGTGGTTTTAGTGACGTATGACGTCGACTCGTTTTAGCAACGCATCGACGATTCAGCGGGCTGTTTGGAGCTGTTTCAGCGCAATAAAAAGGATTTTTTGATGTGGTATGTGACAATGGATGAAACATGGATCCATCACTACACTTCAGAGTCAAATCGGCAGGGAAAGCTCCAGGGAAAGAGATTTGGCTCCAATGAAGAAGTGATTGCCGAAACTGAAGCCTTGCTAAAACGAGTCGACGTCGTGCGTCACTAAAACCACTGTAACTTGTGAACTAAACGTCCGATTGTTATGAAATTTTGACACGTATCATTTGAAGGTTAGTACTTCCTAAAAATTATATGGATTTGTCAATAGTAGCGCCATTTATATGTCATCCTACGAACTTATTGAGTGACGTGTTATATATATGCGCGAGGTGAAGCGATTGTCAAGATGTTCAGTGAGCGGCGACATGTTCACGCTGTTTCCTTTTCGTATTTTTTCATATATATATATTTTCTCACAGACTTTGGAGAAACATGTGTGTGCTGCGTTATCAATTCTTCTTTTCTACACATACCAGGTATGTAAATATAAAACCGGAATTTTTGTATAGAAAATACACGTTTATTGTATGAAAATGATAAAAAATATTTTATTTGAAGTATTTCCCATCGCTAGCTATACATTTTTCCCACCTGTCTGACAATTTGTGGATGCCACGCCAAAAAAATTGTTGCTCTTTTGAGGCAAACCAGTCATCGAGCCATTTTCGTACATTTTCGTAAGAAGTGAAGCACTGCTCAGCAAGTGTGTGTCCCATCGATGCAAATAAGTAGTAATCGGACGGAGCCAAGTCTGAGTAAGCCGCATGTGAAAGTATTTCCCAACTAAATGCCTCAATTGTTTCTTTGACCAGTTTTGCTGTGTGTGATGGTGCATTATCATGAAGTAAAATTACTTTGTGTTGCCTTTTTTGATATTCTGGTCGTTTTTCACGCAAAGCTTGATTCAAATCGATCATTTGTTGTCGGTAGTGTTCAGTATGAACGATTTCGCCAGGTTTTAGCAGCTCATAGTAGATCACACCCTTCTGATCCCACGAAACACAGAGCATTGTCTTCCGTCCATAGCGATTTGACCTTGCAGTCGATGTCGATGGTTCGCCTGGAGATACCCATGATCCTTTACGCTTAGGATTCTTAAAATATCCACTTTTCATCGCCAGTCACAATTCGATGGAGAAATGACTTTCTTTTGTACCTGGCGAGCAGCATTTCGCAAGTGGTTTTTCGGTTTTCCTGTTGTCTTTCATTCAGTTCATGTGAAATCCATTTTCCCATCTTCTGGATCTTTCCCATGGTTTTCAAACGTATGGAGACGGCTTCTCGTGTCACATGTAATTGATCCGCGAGTTGTTGTTGCGGTTGAGCGTCATCCTCATCCAACAATGCTTGCAATTCGCTGTCTTCAAACTTTTTCGGTGATCTTCCACGTTCTTCGTTTCTCACGTAAAAATCACCACGTTTGAATTTTTTAAACCACTCAAAGCACTATGATTTACCAAGAGCATGCTCACCGTAAGCTTCGATAAGCATTCGATGCGATTCTGTAGTTTTCTCCAAATGGTAACAGAAAATCAATGCTGTCCGCAAATCGTAGCTTCCAGGCACAAAATTCGACATGTTCAACGCTATTACAAACTATGCTGTTGTATGAAACTTGTATTGTTGTGAGTTGAAAATGAATCTTTGTCAGATGTCAACAAATGGAAATGGCGCCAATGACGCGATTTGACTGTAACTACATTGACAACTAGGGCCATCTATGGGCAAATTCCGATTTCATATTTACAGACCTGGTAGATTTTATATGAATGTGAATGCGACGCTGCCAATATTTTCTTATTCTCCGAAATATGCTTTTTACTACTGCTTCTCCGGTTCTTCGACTTGGTGGTGTTACGTCCTGCGGACTTCGCGCATTCTAGACCTCTTTTATAAACAAGGAAAATTGAATTTATTATTATTATTATTATATGTTATCACACGACGCGATGACCCTAGAATCTTTGAAAATTCCAATCTCCAAACCAACTCCGATCTTGTTCCCACGCGCTCAGTCTACGTTAACAATACCACGACATCCTATTTAAAAATATCGACATTTCCTTCTTAAGATAGCTGCTACATTTCGTAAACTATTTAAATCCTCTTATTGCCACATGCTCCCTATCTCCTAAAAAAAAGGTTTATTTGACGCTCTTGACTCAACCTCTAAAAACATTCGAAGCACAGTCCTATGACCATATTTGGGCATAAAAAAATTAGACCCCACTCCCTCAACCGAGCTCCCTTTTTGAGAAAAGTCAAAAGTCTCAGCCACTTCTCACCGAGCCAGCAGACAAGAAAGAAGCTCCTCTCGTAGATCACTTAGTGTCTAGTGGATATACCAAGTTACATTTTTACTCATTCGGTTCTCTATAAATTGGCTCAGTTGACTCATTATCATCGCCAACGATAACCAGTCTTCACACCAACCCCGAAAATACGGACGCTGTCCAGAACCTAAGGCATCATCGCACGATATCTGGACCCAAAGTCGAGGCCGACAACAGGCTATTATCCTTCACCCAAAGGGAACCACCATACGGGAACAGTAAGCTTTTCTTTTTGTTTTGTTTTCTCATTTATTGTTTTTTTTCTCACTATCTACTCTCTTCTCTTATCTTTCTTCTCTCTCTTGTTTTTCTTTCCTTTTTCTTCCTTACTCTATTCCCCTTGGCATGTCTCCTTAATTGTGGAATCCGATTGCAGTGGCTCAATGTTATCAAATTCAAACGGACCTAACTACCTCAAAAAAGTACGAAAACCGCGAAGATTTTGAAGTCGCTTCATTAGAACTCGCATTACAAGATCGCCCAGACTACATTGTTCGCCATAACGAATCCGAAGTTTCAAGATTTGCACATTCTCATTTGTTGTTCCTTCCCGATTCTCCCCCCGGAACTCCTCCTATATCTTACTCCCCAACATCCCTGAGTCCCACCGAAGACCGATCTCCTATAGGTTCTCCTTTATTTTGGAGCCCATCCCCGATACCTTCCCCTCCAACCTCACCTCTACGAGGGGGTACGCGTGGCTTCCATGCGGCCTTACTCCGTGGCCTCATTCCTATTTATTCTCCCTCTCCCTCAGAGGCATCCTCGCGTCGATCTTCTCCCTCATCACGCGCTTCCCCGACACCTGATCTTCTTGTACCCGAATATCCCTCGGAATGATTAAAAGTAGCCTCTAGAACCGCGACCACATATATATATATTTATATATAATTACACAACGTTTATATCTGATAATCGATTTTCTTGCAACTTAAAATTAATACTTATATCAATAAATGCACAATTTGTAAGTAATACCCAATCATTCGTCACAAATAATGATTTAATGTAAAAATCCTCCCTTTCCTCAACCGTCACTTACGGTCCTATCCCAGGTAAAGGGATTCAGTTCCCTGACCTAAATAAAGGACCACCGACGTACGTCCGCGCCAGATAAAGGGATCATTCCGATCCTTGATCTATACTGCAGACTTGCAAGTACGTCGGAGCTTGCGAAAGCAAGCGTCAAGTTGCGTTCCTTCTCCAGGACGTAACAGTGGTATATACGGTATAACATAATACAGAATAATTTATTTGCATTTAGATTCAATAATTCACTGTATTGTAGCTAAGTGCTTACACACACATTTGAAAGAAATAAATACTATTTTAAATTTTTATGAAATAATGATATTCCATTTAAGATATTATCACTTGCTTTAAAAAAAAGAGATACTACATCGAAAAAATTATTTCTTTCTTCTAATATAATTGTATATTGATTGCAACGTGTCAGATTTAAAAAATTATAATTGTTAGTGAAAAACTGATTTCTTTCATTCAACAAAATATTTATTGTATATCATT